AGGAATAGGACGAGGAGGAGGAGGAGGAGGAAGAGCAAGGCTCTGAACTGAGAGCGGTGACGTAACACGCGCTTACCAGCACGGCTCCCAAGAGCGAGCGATGACGCAACACGTTCTTACCACCACGGCTCCTAAGAGCGAGCGGCAACGTGAACATCTCTGGGCACGAGGACGCTGAACAGAGAGCGGTGACGCAACAAGTTCTTCCCACCAAGGCTCCCAACAGAGAGCGGTGACGTAGCACGCGGTTACCAGCAAAGCTCCCACGCACGAGCCGTGACGCAACAAGCTCTTACCACCAAGTCTCCCAGCAGAGAGCGGTGACGTAACACGCGCTTGCCAGCAAGGCTCCCAAGCACGAGCTGTGACGCAACAAGTTCTTCCCACCAAGGCTCCCAACAGAGAGCGGTGACGTAGCACGCGGTTATCAGCAAAGCTCCCACGCACGAGCCGTGACGCAACAAGCTCTTATCACCAAGGCTCCCAACAGAGAGCGGTGACGTAGCACGCGCTTACCAGCAAAGCTCCCAAGCACGAGCTGTGACGCAACAAGTTCTTCCCACCAAGGCTCCCAACAGAGAGCGGTGACGTGTAGCACGCAACAAGCTCTTTACCAAGCAGCGGTGACGGCTACCAGCAAACGCACGAGCCGTGACGCAACAAGCTCTTATCACCAAGGCTCCCAACAGAGAGCGGTGACGTAGCACGCGCTTATCAGCAAAGCTCCCAACGCACGAGCCGTGACGCAACAAGCTCTTATCACCAAGGCTCCCAACAGAGAGCGTGACGTAGCACGCGCTTACCAGCAAAGCTCCCAAGCACGAGCGTGACGCAACACGCTCTCACCACCAAGGCTCCCAACAGAGAGCGGTGACGTAACACGCGCTTGCCAGCAAAGCTCCCAAGCACGAGCGTGACGCAACACGCTCTCACCACCAAGGCTCCCAACAGAGAGCGGTGACGTAACACGCGCTTGCCAGCAAGGCTCCCAAGCACGAGCCGTGACGCAACACGCTCTCACCACCAAGGCTCCCAACAGAGAGCGGTGACGTAACACGCGCTTGCCAGCAAGGCTCCCAAGCACGAGCCGTGACGCAACACGCTCTCACCACCAAGGCTCCCAACAGAGAGCGGTGACGTAACACGCGCTTGCCAGCAAGGCTCCCAAGCACGAGCCGTGACGCAACACGCTCTCACCACCAAGGCTCCCAACAGAGAGCGGTGACGTAACACGCGCTTGCCAGCAAGGCTCCCAAGCACGAGCCGTGACGCAACACGCTCTCACCACCAAGGCTCCCAACAGAGAGCGGTGACGTAACACGCGCTTGCCAGCAAAGCTCCCAAGCACGAGCCGTGGCGCAACACGCTCTCACCACCAAAGCTCCTAACAGAGGGCGGACTCGCGCGTACCAGCAAGGCTCCCAAGCACGAGACGTGACGCAACAAGCTCTTACCACCAAGGCTCCCAGCAGAGAGCGGTGACGTAACACGCGCTTGCCAGCAAGGCTCCCACGCACGAGCCGTGATGCAACAAGCTCTTATCACCAAGGCTCCCAACAGAGAGCGGTGACGTAGCACGCGCTTACCATCAAGGCCCCCAAGCACGAGCCGTGACGCAACACGCTCTCACCACCAAGGCTCCCAAGAGCGCAGGGTGCCATGCGCCATCTCGGGCAAGTAGCTGAAGCGCTCTTTCACGGAAAGAGCGAGGTACGAGTGACGTACGTTGAGTTGGGGCGAAGCCCTTAAATGGAGGGGGTCCAGGTGAGGGGCGAAGCGGGGGGAAAATGGTCTAATGGCCGCTCGCGCCTCGTTATTTATCGGGTGGGACGGCCCTCTGGGCTGCTCGATGTGGAGCTTTAAAAAAACGAGCGTTTCGCTCGAGACTTCCTCGAACAGCTGGGATCGTGAAAACGCTGGCTTCGTCTTGGGATTGTCAACAAAGACCAAATCGCTAGGGACATCCCCCCAAAGTCGCATGCTACAAAAGAGCGGATGGACTCTCAAGTCGAAGCGCCTTCGGAGAGCCTCCAGCATAGCCCAAGATGTGAACATCAGGAAGAACCCTGGGGGTTGCTTAACATTTTTGAGCAACAAGCGTTTCGCTCTAGACATCCCCTCAATTTTGCCTTCGGGAGGCCTCCCGGATGACCTCCAAGAAGGCTCCAGGAGGATGGGGAGAATGATGATGATGATGCTGATGATGATGATGATGAGGAGGAGGAGGAGGAGGAGGAGGAGGAGGAGGAGGAGGGGGATGAGGAGAGGAAAAGGAGGAGGAGGAGGAGGAGGAGGAGGAGAAGGAAAAGGAGGAGGAGGAGGAGAAGGTGGAGGAGGAGGAGGAGGAGGATGAGGAGGAGGTGGTGGAGGTGGTGGATGGCGCGCCGCAGCGCGGGTCAGGCCACGAAGCTGTGAGGGGTGTGCCGAAATGAGGCGGAGTAGCCTCGCGAATCCTGACGTTTGGGCCCTCGGTGGGGCCCCCTGTGCAGGGCCACAACGCGTGTGAGGAGCGTGCCGAAATGAGGCGACATGCGAACCTCGGCATCTGGGTCTTAGCTGGCGCTCCCCATGTGGCCGCCATGAAATGTGTGAGGGATGTACCGGAATCTGGCGGCGGCGCCATGCGAGCCCTGGCATTTGGGCATTTTGGAATTCGTTTGGGCTCTCTATGGTGCCGCGAAACATATGACGACATGACGCGGCGCCGACACACGAACGCTGGCCTTTGGGTCTTAGTGAGAGCGCCTTGTGGGACCGCGAAGCGTGTGAGGGGTGCGCCGAAGTCGAGGATGCGCCGCCAGTCGAACCCTGGCGTTTGAGCCTTAATCGGGGCTCCATATCGGCCCACGAAACTTGTGGTGTGACGAACCCTGAACCTCTCAACCCCCTAAACTCCAATCCCCGAACTGCAAGCTTCGGGCGCTACAACGTCTGTAGACGTCGAACGAGCGGCACCTGGGCGTCACAGGGTTGCCTGTGCGCGGTGCGGCGCAGGCCCAGAGGCTTTTCGATAAAGACATGTCAGGCGTTTTGAATTTGTGCGAGCGCGCACTTCCTCATCACCCTCGTGTACGCAATCGTAATCACCAGTCTCGTCAGCGTCGTCGTTGCCATCGTCATCAGCATCATCATCAGTGTCGTTGCCGTCAACATCACCGACGCCGCCACAATCGTCATCGTCGATGGCGTCACCCTCGTCAATTTGTTTTGCACACGCGCACTTCCTCGTCGTCGTCGTCGTCGTCATCATCATCATCATCATCATCATTACCATCACCATCATAATCAGCAGCATCGTCATCATCATCATCATCATCATCATCATCATCATCATCATCATCATCATCATCATCATGATCAGCATCATCATCATCATCATCGCCATCAACATCGCCGCCAGTGCCATCATTGCGACTATCATTGTGATCACGACCAGCTTCATTACAATCGCCATCGTCTTCGTCAACATCATTCACACCTTCATCATTGTTGTCGCCGCCGTGTTGAATTTCGCCAACACGTTGCGTGCGAGCGGGTGGGATTATCGCGCGAGCATTGGAGGTGGTCATGCGCGGATGCGGCCACCACTAATTGACCAAATCGATGGCACCACGTAGTTGCACAACATAACTTGCACGGCATACTTTGCATCACGCACGAACATATGGAAATGTATAGCGCACCCCAAGGTGTCGCACATACACGAAACGTGCACACATTATGTTTGGTCCACGCTGTAAAACGCTTTGAGAACTTAGCTCTGCGTCTGTTTAGCTTTTGCAAGATGCATGCTTTCCGGCCACAAGCGGTGAGGATGTCTCAGGCGAAACGCCCGGCCCCAGCTTACTGACACGCTTGGTGCTGCGACGTGGATGAGGTATTGCTGAAGAGGAGTGGAAGAGGAGGAGCTGGAGGAGGGAGGAGGGAGTGGAGGAACATGAGAGGATTAGGGGAGAGGAGGAGTGGGGGGGAGGAGGGATGATCTGGTTCGGTATCTGGTTCGGCCGAGAACTTTTCCCATAGGTCGGAGCAGATCGAACTGGCTCGCGTTCTGCAACATTTCTTGCTACACAAAGCCGAGTGTGTGGGACGAAGAGAACACGCGGGACAAGCTATGCTGCACCCCGATTGTCCCAGCTGTGAGAACACAAGAGTGAGAACACACGAGCGCAGAGAGAGATGCAACTACATGATCCCACGCTCGACGTCTGGCGGCGCTGCCCGTCACGAAAGACATATGCAATGTGCGCATAGCCTGCCACGAAGACGCGACTACCCAGTTGTCTGCAACACAACAGTGCGATGGAAAACCAACGGGCCAACCATTACTGCAACATTATATTGTATTTGGTACAGCTGGACGGCAAGTTTTTTTTTTTTTTTTTTTTTTTTTTTTTTTTTTTTTTTTTTTTTTTTTTTTTTTTTTTTTTGTTCTCTTCTCTCTCTCTATATATATATATATGTTGATGCGTGACAGACCATGTGTAAAGAAAGCGGCCAGGCTGGCCACTGACACTTCGACTTGAAAGTCTTTTGTATGGTGCGACAGAGTGCAGATTCACATGCGCATGCTACACAACCCGCCCGCACTCTGCTGGTTTGAAAATCGTAGTGGATTGAACACGTAGCACAGCCGCATGTGCCTTTCTTGCCCTGCAGGGCCTGGGCCAGACTAGCCTTCCTCGCCGTTCTCCCCCCCCCCCCTACGGCTGCGCGGCACGCGGTTGGCCGCCACCTCGCGTACCCCGACGCCCGCCAATCGCACGGCTGCAAGTGAGCCCCCCCCCCGTCCACAGTGGCCAGGCTCGCGCTGCGCGGCCAGCTCCAGCGCGGTGCACGCGTCTGTCTCGTCAACCGCTGGTCGCCCAGCCACCGCGTCATCATGGGCATGCGCGCCTCGCTTCGGGCGCCATCCACCCGCCGCTGCACTCCCAACGCCATCAGCAGCCAGGCGGTGACCAGGCGCCCCCCCTCTTTCATGGCCCCTGGTCCGCAGCGTCATGCCCAAGTTTGCCGACAGGAGCTCGGGTGCTTGAGCCAGCGGCGCGGCCCCCCCTGCCGCGAGAGGAATGGCTGAGGAGGAGGAGGAGGACGAGGAGGAGGAGGAGGAGGAGGAGGAGAGGAGGAGGAGGAGGAGGAGGAGGAGGAGGAGGAGGAAGGATGCAGGAGGAGGAGGAGGAGGAGGAGGAGGAGAAGGAGAAGGAGAAGGAGAAGGAGAAGGAGAAGGAGAGGGAGAGGGAGAGGGAGAGGGAGGGAGGGAGGGAGGGAGGGAGGTGGTGGTGGAGGAGGAGGAGGAGGAGAGGAGGAGGAGGAGGAGGAGGAGGAGGAGGAGGAGGAGTTGGTGGGTTGTGGAGGAGGAGGGGGGAGGAGGAGGGAGGACGAGGATAGCCCCCCCCCTGCCCCGCGAGAGGTCTTCGCACGCCAGCCGAGGGGGCGGAGCACGGACCTTCGGTGCGCGCCTCGGGCGGCCGCGGCGTCACTGGCCGTGCCCACTGCCCCCTGTTCCGAGTGCGCCTGGAAGCCTCCAGAGAACTCCAAAGAGGCGGGGGGACCTGGCAAGGGCTGGCCAGGAGGGTGACGACGACGACGACGACGACGACGACGACGACGACGACGACGACGACGACGACGACGACGACGACGACGACGACGACGACGACGACGACGACGACGACGAGGACGACGATAATGATCTGGATACCTCCAGAGACTTTGGACTCTTTGCCGTCACCTGCACGATGCTTCATGTGAGCGACGTATGAAGACGGGGTCGATTGCGTGGAGGTTCGTGCGTAAGCTTTCCGCGTATGGTCGTGCGGAGGCGCCCTCTTCTCTACGCAGTGGGCCGCGCTGGCGCCCCGCGTAAGCCACGGCGTAAGGTCGCTATGCCGTCGTGCGTAAGGCTCCTTCCTTTTCCTCGCCTAGGTAGTTTTGGGAGGATGGTCGGGGGCTTTCGGGGATTTGACTTTGTTTTGCGAGGCTTTGGTCTTGCTGGGGAGACAGAGGGGGGGGGGGGGGGGGAAAGGGGCCATTTTGTCTTGCTTGAGGGGTTGTGTGGCCCCTCCTCCCTCGCGGGGGGCGACGGATGAGGGGGGGAGGCAATGGGGATAGGGAAAGGGGGGACGGGGGGGGATTGGGTTGGTGAGTATAACGAAACTTTCCCGACGCCACCAGGAATAGCCCCCCATACGTGGAGCTGCCTCTGATGTAGGTGCCCCCCCTTCCCCTGCAAGCTTCTTAGCGTCTGGGTCCAGGGGTACCCCTAGGGGATCACTTGAGCAGGCTGGCCCGAATCTGTGCCTGCGGCTTCTTGTTCCCATCGGTGGTTTTCGGCCGATACGGGGCCTGGCCGTTCCCGCAAGGGAAGTTGCCGCGTGGAAGCAGCGGGGTGGAAGGCGCATCTGTTTGTTCTTCCGAGGGCGGGGGGCTGCTGTCACAGGGGCGATGCGGGCACCCCGGAGCGGTGCTGCGAGGTCCCAGCTGACGTCCCAGAATGTGGAGGCGAGGGTGAACGGCACGATGGCGTTCCTCAAGGACAGCAGGCAAAAGCTGAGGAGGCGGAGGAGAAGGAGGAGGAGGAGGAGGAGGAGGAGGAGGAGGAGGAGGAGGAGGAGGAGGAGGAGGAGGGCGCGGGAACTCAGAGGGGTAGGCGACCATGATCTTCCAGGGCTCTGTGCTGTTTCGGCCCCCCCCTTCAGTGGTACGAGAGCGTCGCAATGTATATGTCATATTTCCCTGGAGGTAACTCTTGAGCCACTGGCTTAAAACCGAGTGCATTTGTTGGCATTGTGAAACAGCTTTTGTCCGTGCGATGTGCCAGTTTCCAGATCGAGGGCCGTGTCGTCGACTTTGCTCGCCTTGCGAAGGCTTGGTGGGAGCATCTGGACAACGAAGAGGAGGAGGAGTAGAAGAGAGACAGCAGGAGGAAAGGAGAGGGGGGAGGGAGGGAGAGGGAGGGAGGGAGAGGGAGGGAGGGAGGGAGGGAGGGAGGGAGGGAGGAAGGAAGGGAGGGAGGGAGGGAGGGAGGGATGATGCTGATGATCATGATGATGATGATGATGATGATGATGATGATGATGATGATGATGATGATGATGATGATGATGATGATGATGATGATGATGACGATGATGATGATGATGATGATGATGATGATGATGATGATGATGATGATGATGATGATGAGATGATGATGATGATGATGATGATGATGATGATGATGATGATGATGGATGAGATGTGATGAGATGATGATGATGATGATGATTAGGAGAGGAGAGGAGGAGGAGGAGGAGAGGAGGACGAGGAGGAGGAGGAGGAGGAGGAGGGTGCGGAGGAGGCGAGGCTACAAAGCCGGCGCTTCGGCAGGATCAAGGCGACCAGGTTTTATGGAAGGTTGGGAGTAGGGAGACTACGGCGACGGAGTGGGAGGAGGAGGAGGAGGAGGAGGAGGAGGAGGAGGAGGAGGAGGAGGAGGAGGAGGAGGAGGAGGAGGAGGAGGAGGAGGAGGAGGATGGGAGTGCCAGGGCTACGGGTTGGTGGGGCAGGCACCCTGGCTCCCCTCACATTCCCTGGGGGGGACGGCCGGCTGCCCCGGCTGGCTGCACGGCCGGCTTCGCCGCAGCCATCTCGGCCCCTCTGCCGGGGTCAGGCGGATCCGCCCCCCCTGGTGGGTGTGAGGAGGAGGAGGAGGAGGATCGGGAGGCCTTGCACCCCCCGTGCAAGGACCCCTGCAAGGCCATCGCCGCCGCGCAGCTGTCCGTGGCGAGGTCGGCCCTGGCGAACCAGGACCGGGTGGCCGTGCCTCGGGCGGGTTCGCCCTCACGTGGCTGCTGGCGTGCGGCGGGGGTCGACTAGACGTAAGAGTGACCTTTCGCCGGAGTGACCTTTGGTGCGGGCACAGATGGGCCCCCAGGTGGCTGAAAACGAAGCAGGAGCAGCGGCTTGCGCGCCCAGGTTTGGTCCCCCCGCGGTCACCAAAAAACCGCGCACCAAAGGTCACTCTTACCCAGGGTCACTCTTGCGTGTAGCCGATGCTGGCGCGCTGCGGGAGCAGAGGGGGGCACGTCGGGTGCTGCTGCTCACACGTGTCGAAGGATCACGGCGCCAATGTCGCCGAGCGGATTTCGTTCGGAACACGATGTGGTGGGCCCGGGGTGTCCAGGAGAATTTCGTTCCGGATTTCGAGGTGGATTTCGTGCGGATTTTTTGTTTGGCCAGAAATGAAAACCAAAAAGAATCCACGCGAAATTCACTTCGTTTTTCGCTCGCCGCACGTCTGCAAGGCTGGTGCAGTGAAAGGGGGTGGGGTCTCGGAGATGGAGGCGGGGAGGGAGAGGCGCTGGAGGGGGTGACGTTCGGTGGCAAACCATGGGAGCCTTCTGTGAGCTCTCGTGATGCGGTTTCTAGCGTCGACTAGCGCCGATGGGCGTCTGGGAGTCGACGAGCTGGCGCCGACTTGGCGTCGGTTAGCGTCGATTGGCGTCGATTTGGCGTCGACGGCCGTCGATCCGCAAGAGCCGACAAGATGCTGTGGAAGGCTCCCGCGAGTTGCCGCCGACGGGGAGGGAGAGGCGCCGGAGGGGGCGACGAGGGGTCAGCTCCTGACTCCGCCCCTGCTCCGGTGGCCCGCGCTTCAACATGCCATCTCTCTGGCGTGCGGTGGTCTCGTGCCCAGACATCGGGCGCCTCAAAACAATCGAGGCGGAGGTTTTTCGTGGTTTCCGGCATCTCGGGGCCCCCGCCGGGCCTCGGGACCGTCACAAAACGACTCGGGATGAAAAAATGGTCCCGGGGGAGCGGTCGGGAGGTCGGGGGCCCGCGTCTCGACAAAGATCGAGGCGTCGGATGTCTGGGTTATTTGGGGAGCTTTCCTTCCAGGTGCTGCGCCCTGGTGAGCTCGTGAGGGGAGATTTTCGGGTGGCCCGCAAGCTTCCTGCGGCGGGCCACCCGCTGGACTTGTGGAAGTCGATTAACGGAGAGGAAGCGTGCTGCCAAATCATTTCCAGATGTCTAAACCATGTTTCGAACCTGTTCTAGACATGTAAAGCATCATGCCTGAAACACTTCGTCAGAACATGTGTTACACACATACTCTGAGCACACGTTTGATTCCACGGTGGGATTGTAAGAGTGTCCACTGCCGTGGCATCCGCAACGCTGGACGCGCGGCCCTCGACTCCTCAGCTCACGCCGCCTCCGCTCCGTCGCCGGGCCCCCTGGCCCCCCGGACGACCCAGCCGCGGGCGAGGGCCGCCTGCGCCTGCGGCCGCTCGTGCCCGGCTCGGGGTCCAGCTCGGGGGCGCGGGCGGCCTCCGGAGAGGTCCAGGGCTTCTGGACGCCGAGGCGCCGCACGCCGCCTGGCCCGCCGAGGCGCCTGGAGGCCCCCACCTCGCTGCCAGCCCCCGGCTCTTATGATGTTCCAGCTTCCTTTGGCCTCGATCGCCAGCAAGAGTTTGGAGCACCGGACAAAAACGAAACTCGAGGGTTTTCACGTGTCGGGCCCTGGGCTGGTCACTCGCCCGACACCGTTTCGACATTCCTTCGACACTCTTCCGGGTGCTCGAAATTATTTCTGGGATGTGGTCCTTAAGTACGATAGGAGCAACATAACCCTTGGCTCAGGAGATGGCGCTGAAGGCCGGCAACCGCTTCTCCTTCATCGGCGGCACGGTCCAGGGTGGGCTCGAGGAAAGGCGCACGATGGCCATGGCCAGGGCGTCGCGGGACCTTGTCGTCACCGTTCTTCGTTATGGTCCATGCTGGCCGTTGCCGCTTCGCGAGCATGATCCACGAACTGACGGTGACCAGGGTGGACGGTGACCAAGATCGACGCCGCCGTTTCCGCATTCCTGGGCCGCTGTTCAGCCCCGTGGGCCCCGTTCTGGCAGAACGGTCAGGGGCAACGTGACGGGGGGGAAGGCTCAGGGCAGGATGCATCGACCCCCAGTCTCCGTCCATGGATCGCCGGCAGGGGCCCGATGGCCAGTCCCGCCCGGGAACGTGCGGATTCGCTATCCAGGGCTTATCGCGCCTCTATCGGCGATGTATCGCCGATTCCAATTCGATGCTTTCCCCTCTGAGCTGGTACCCCCCCTAATGTTCTCCCCAATGGGGCCTGGCCCGGGCCAGGTGTCGAAATTCTCCTTTCCTCGCGATTCACGTTAGATTGACGCTTCAGCGACCCGCCAACTCGACCCGATGTTGAACGGCACGCGAGCAGATAGGAGCGAACAGTCTTCAAACTATTATTGTTGAGTTCTCATGTCTACAAAGCAATCATTGTTGTCCCCCCCACCTCCGGTGCACCGCGTGTTTTCCTCTTTGAAGTGCTCCTCCCGGGGCTCACACCCTGTTCTTCCACAAGGGAAAGTCTTGGTCCTCAAACTGGGTCGTTGGCCCCTGGTTTACAAAATAGCGGCTCTTGCCTGATACATCTTCCACATTTATTTTGAATTCGCGCTCTCGCGGGGAACTTCGTCCGAATTGATGCAGGAATCGCGCTCTCGTGTGGTATTTCCTTACAATTTATTGCGGCGCTGTGCACCCAAGACTCAGAAATCACGCTCTTGCTCTGGATTTCCTTATAATTTACTTGGGAATCGCGCTGTCGCTCGGAATTTCCTTCATGATGGAGTGACCCTTCAGCGACCCGCCCGCTCGAGCTGGCCGTCTGGGCCCGCCCGCCCGACCTGCCCCTCAGTGTCCGCCGACCCGACCCGCCCGTCTGGTTCTGCCGCTTGTGCTTCTATTCCTAATCCCCCTCCCGCCAATCTCTCTCGTGCTCCATCCTTTTCCCTCTCCCTTGTCTCTTCCCTCCTCCCTTTCTTCCCCTGTAGTAGGGGCTGCGCCAAGTACACCTGGCAGATAACATGATTGTTGATTGTGTTGATCTTGTTGTTATTGTCGTCGTCGTCGTGGTGGTGATGGTTGTTGTTGTTGCTGTTGTTGTTGCTGTTGTTGTTGTCGTCGTTGTTGCTTTTATTATTATTGTTGTTGTGGTCGTCGTCGTCGTCATTATCGTTGTTGCTGTTGCTGTTGTTTGTTGTTGTCGTCGTCGTCGTCGTCGTCGTCGTGATTGTTGCAATTGTTTTCTTGTTGTTGTTGTGCTGTTTTGTTGTTGTTGTGGTTGCTGTTGTTGTTGTTGTTGTTGTTGTTGTTGTTGTTGTTATTGTTGCTGTTTTGTTCTTGTTGTTGCTGCTGCTGTTGTTGTCGTAGTCGTCGTGATTGTTGTTGTTGGTGTTGGTGTGGTTGTTGTTGTTGTCGTCGTTGTCGATGTTGTCGCCATCGTCGTCGTCGTCGTCGTTGTTGTTGCTGTTGTTGTTGTTGTTTTTGTTGTTGTTGTTGTTGTTGTTGTTGTTGTTGTTGTTGTTGTTGTTGTTGTTGTTGTTGTTGTTGTTGTTGTTGTTGTTGTCGTCGTCGTCGTCGTCGTCGTCGTCGTCGTCGTCGTCGTCGTAATCGCCGCCGCGGCCATCGTCGTTGTGGTTGTTGTTGCTATTGTCGTTGATGCGGGTGTTGTTGTTGTTGTTGTTGTTGTTGTTGTTGTTGTTGTTGTTGTTGAACATTATTTCTTCTTAAGAATAATTATTGTTGGGGCCCCTGGTGCGCGCCCCCCCCGCCGCGCCTAGGCCGCAGCCACATTTTCATCATTTTCGTGAGGAAGTCTCAGGCAAAACGGGGGCGTCCGGATCCGGTTGTTTTGTTGTCCCCCGCTTTCCCTTGCAAAAAATAAGCTAAAGCGGACATTTCTTGTTCGAACATAACCAAACTTCAAGAATCCTTGCAAAAAATAAGGTAAAGTGGACATTCGCGCGCGCAAGACGAAATCCTTCCAAAACCTTAGTTTTCGTAGCGTTTTTAACATAAAAACATCAAAAAGCCTTTTTTTTTTTTTAAAATGTCAAAATTTCATCCCGCGCGCTCTTGCGGATTCGTAGGAAACCCAACACTTTTTAAACATTTCTGTCAAACGGGCTTTTGCGAGCAACTTTTTCGAACTTCTGCAACAACGGTTGCGCACCTGCCAGGGCCATCATCCCTGTCAAATAATACCATGCGGGACACATTCGTTTTTTCTTCGCGCGCGCACGCCGTCGTCGTCGGCCGCGGGGCCCTGAATAGTAGCCACGGTCGTCCGCATGCCACGAAGTGAAGTGTCCGAACGTCATAGGGCGGGAAGCTGGGTGTGGGTGGTGGCGAAGAGTCGTTTGGAAATTTGGTAGAGCTTGAACCGGCCCCCCCACAAAGTGGGGGTATTGCCCGCCTCCTATGAAAACCCTGGCACTGGTGAGAACGGAGTGTCCCCACGTGCTAGTAATTGTTGTTGTTGTTGTTGTTGTTGTTGTTGTTGTTGTTGTTGTTGTTCTTGCTGTTGCTGTTCTTGTAGTTGTTCTTGTTGTTGTAGTTGTTTTTGTGATTGTCGAGATCTCACTCCTGAGGAGTACTTATTATTGATCCCCCCGCCCAGTGCCATTTTTTTCCAAACAGTGCTTGAACTTAGGGGTTCTTACTTGTGTTCTAAGGTAGCTGGGCCCCGGTGCTGGTCCGGCCAGCTTGTCGCCGCCCGTCGCCGCGGTCCGTCGCCGCCTCTTGCAATGGGCCCCCGTGCTGGTCTGGCTGGCTCGTCGCCCGTTGCCGCCGTCTGTCGCCGCCACTCGCACTCGTCCACTCGCACTCGTCCACTCGCACTCGTCCACTCGCTCAGCATGGCACTCGCACTCGACCACTCGCACTCGTCAACTCGCACAGCATGGCATAGCACAGCGTAGCACAGCTTGCCACATCCCAGCATAGCATAGCACAGCTTGGCTTAGCAAGTCGTAGCTCATCTTAGCATAGCGTAGCGTAGAATAGTAAAGCCCAGAAGGGCATAGCATGGCATAGCACAGCAGATAATATCATAGTGCAACCAATGTGGTGCGATTCAAGTTTGTATCGCGTCGATTCCATTGCGGATATTGCCCAGCATTGATTGGTAGTGCATGTGTTGCATTGAACAGATTGCGCTGCGTAGGCTGCATCGCACATATCAGATAGCAGAGTCTGCTAGAACACATCGTTTGGGGTCCACGCTTGGGCACATTTTTTGCAATTGAACTGCCTCCGCTGGGGCTCGCACCCTGTTTTGGTGAGGGAAAGTCTTGAGCCTCAAACTGGGTTGTTGGCCCCTGGGCTGTAACAACAACAACGAGTTTACCCAGGAATCGTGCTCTCGCTTGGGACCTCCTTGCAACTTACTCAGGAAATCGCGCCCTCGCACGAGACGCTATGGTATTTTACTCGGGAGTCGTGATCTTGCTTAAGACTTCTTCGCCGTGTGCTAACTTCGCTTCAGTGCCCCGCCCGACCTAGTTAGGTCCTCACGACCCGACCCACCGGTTAAGGGTCTGTTCGCCAATCTTCCTGCTCCTCTCTCCTCCCCCTCCTGCTGAACCTTTCTCGTTGTCACTGCTCCGCCCTTCATCTCGCCCCCTCCCTTTTCGTTCCCTCTCCCCCTTTTTTCATGTTTTTTTTTTTTTTTTTTTTTTTTTGTTTTTTGTTTTTTGTTCTCTCTCTCTCTTTCTCTCTCTTTCTCTCTCTCTCTCTCCCCCCCCTTTTCTTTTCTCCCTCCCCTTCCAATTTTGGGCCACGCCCAACGTATGCAGGGAAGATATCCCCCCAAAGAGGGTACGATCGAAGACGAGGAGGGCGGGCATCGATGGCCTGGAGTGTACGTGCTGAGCGCCCAGCGAGCACTTTAAGGGCGACCAGCATTTGTACTATTGTGTTTCGTTTTTTGGCTTCTTCTCCTTTTTTTCTGATGCTTCTCCCTCTCCTTATGAGTTTTGTTACCACCATCCTTCTTCATATCCGTCTTCTGATTCTTCATATTATTATTATTTTCTTATTCTTATGATTCTTATTCTCACTATTATTCATATCATCATCATTACCATCGTTATTATCGTTAGCGCTATCATCATTAGTAGCATTACACATACTAGTAGTATCATTATCATTAATCACATTATTACTAGTACTGGCATTTTAATTTGCATTATTATCATTATTATTATTGTTGTTGTTGCTGTTGTGGTTATTCGCACCCGTATTACTATTTTTATTATTGTTATTATTAATACTATCAGTACTCGTATTTTTATTATTCTTATTCGGATTATCATGATTCTTGTTATTTTTTATCAATATTATTATTTCCATCATCATTATCATTATTCTTACTGGCCTTCTTCGCGCGACGTCTGGATGTCAGCGGCTTCATCTTCCTCTTGCTTCTCCTCTGCCTCCTCCTCTTCCTCTTCCTCCTCCCGCGAGGTCGGCGGAGGGCCTCACTCCTTCAGCGACCCGACCCTGCCCGATCGGGGCTCCCTGACGCTCGCCACGCTCACCGAGACCCTCGCAGTAGGCTCCCCCCCTCCCGCCCACGCCCTCGCGTGCCAGCGTGGGGGGGGGAGGCCAGGAGGGAAGAGGGCCGAGGGAGGGACAGGGGGAGGGCCTGTCAGCAGCGGCCCTTTTCCCCCCCTCCCCCCCTCCTCCCCCCCTGGCAGGCGCCCCCCTCTCCCGCCCGCGCCCTGGCGTTCCAGCGAGGGCAGGAAGAAGGCCGCGGGAGGGACGGGGGGAGGGCCTGACAGCAGCACCAGCGGCACGCCCGCCTGATTCCCGATTCCTGATGACTGGAAGGGTCGTCGATCGTGGCCCTCGCGCGCCCGCACCAGGGCGGAGACGGAGGAGGAGGAGGAGGAGGAGGAGGAGGAGGAGGAGGAGGAGGAGGAGGAGGAGGAGGGAGGAGGAGGAGGAGGAGGAGGAGGAGGAGGAGAGGAAGAGGTGGGAGGAGGAGGAGGAGGAGGAGGAGGAGGAGGAGGAGGAGGAGGTGGAGGAGGAGGAGGAGGAGTGGAGGGGAGGAGGAGGGGAGGAGAGGAGGTGGAGTTGGAGGTGGAGGAGAGTGGAGGAGTGAGGAGGAGGGGAGGGCAAGGATGGAGGAGGAGAGGAGGGAGGATAGGAGGAGGGGGGAGGGGGCTCTGCCCCTGGGCCCAGGATCGGTGGTCAGCCCGCCTCCCTGCCCGAGCCAGGCGAGGAGGCGCAGGCACCCGTCCAGAGGCCCAGGGGATGGGCCCAGCCAAGGTCGGCGGGCGCCCTCCGTGCTCGCTGCCCTTCCGCCGCTCCCCCCCCCCCGCCCCGGCCCCGCCCCGCGGGCGGTGACGGCGGCGTCGGCGGCAGTGCTCGGCGCGCCCGCTCGTTTGCTCGGGGGCGCGGGGGGGAGGGGCACGGGGGATGGAGGGGAGTGAGGGAGAGGGAGGGGGGGCGAGGGCGGGGCGCAGCGAGGGCGGGGGGAGGCGAGAGAGCGAGAGGGTGGCAGGGGAAGAGGGGGCGGGGTGTATCATAGGAGGGCACGGGGCGCCAGATTGCGATGGACATGCCCGTCCTCCTCCGGCTCCTCCGCCTGCTACTCCTCCTCCTCCTCCTCCTCCTCCTCCTCCTCCTCCTCCTCCTCCTCCTCCTTCTCCATCTCCTCCTCCTCTTCTTCCTCCTCCTCCTCCTCCTCCTCCGCCTCCTCCGCCTCCGCCTCCGCCTCCGCCTCCGCCTCCTCCTCTCTCCTCCCCTCTGCTCCTCCTCCTCCCTCCTCCTCTTCCTCTCCTCTCCTCTCCCTCCTCCCTCCTCCTCCTCCCTCCTCCTCCTCTCCTCCTTCTCCTCCTCCTCCTCCTCTTCCTTCCCTCTCCCTCCTCCTCCTCCTCCTCCTCCTCCTTCCCCCTTCCCCTTCTCCTCCTTTCCTCCTCCTCCTCCTCCTCCTCCTCCTTCTCCTCCTCCTCCTCCTCCTCCTCCACCTTCCCACGCCCTCCCAGAGGCAGGAGGAGGGAGGGCGATTTTCTGTGTGCGTACTATCGCTTCTCAACCCTCCTGTGCCGTTGGGCTCTCGTCTTATCTCCGATGCGCAGCGCCTCCCCCCTCTCCCTTCCGCAGCTGCTGCCGCATGCTGCTGCCGCTGTCAGCTGCCGCGTGGCGGCACCTCCACTTCGGCACACCGCTCGCGCAGATCGTGCCCCCCAGCGAGCCCCCACCCTGGGGCCACAGCAGACTTTCTCGCACGCGCTCCCTCTCGCCCATTTTGGCACACCCTTCGCTCAGGTCACGCCCAGCATAGAGCTCCACCCATGGCTTCAGTGGACGTGCTCGCATGCGGTTTGCCCGCCCACTTGGGCACACTCCTCATGCGAGCCGTGGCTCATGGAGCTTGGCGTGCTTCTGCGTGATTGCTGTGCAGCCGCCTATGATTCGCACTGCCCCTGGCTCCGCCTCTCCCGCGGCTCGCAGTATGCGAGGAGAGGGCCACGCCCTGCTCGACACACAGCTGCATGGGGATCCTCCTCATAATGCTTGCCTGCCTGCTACGCCCTCCTCACCAATTTCTCGCTTGAGCGTCCTTCTCTTCCGAGAAGGCCCGCCGCCGCTGCCCCTTCCCCCTTCCTCCCTCCCCCTTCCCGGCGGCTAGGCTGCTCGACTCACCAGTGCAGCGGATGTCGGTTTACGTGTGCCGTCTGTCGCAGCAGTGAGACACGCACCACGCTTCGTGGTTGGCTTGCATCCCCGTGCTGCCGGCTCGACAAGTTCTCACGCAGGTCCAAGAGATGAGAGACTGCACCTTGATGGTGGGGGGTGGGATCATGAGCCGCACGAGCTAATCCACAGTCGCGCACTCGGGGTCCGGATCTGAATGACTTGCGGGTTTCACGTTCGGGGCCAATGTACAAGCGGGGCTCAGACTTGAGTGCACCCGATCTCATACCGATATCAGGAGGGCCTGCCTGGCTCGTTTCTCCAGGAAGCTATTCCCTAATGTTTTGAGTGCGGCCGAACGGTCAGCACTTCTGATCTCTGGGTAGTTTCTTTCATCGGCACAGTCGTGTAGCTGTTCCTGTTCATGTTCGCCCGATCCGCAGGCGTCAGCCCTGAGAGCGACGAATTCTCATCGCCCCGTGGTGTGTACAGGGGTAGGCATATCCTGATGCCCCACCAACCTTGGCGACCGCTTCCTCGTGTTCTTCTGAGCCCCAAAGAAAAACAGGCGCTATGAACGACTGGGGGTATGTGTAGTGGGGGGGCTGGACATGGAGAAGGCCCGAGCGGCGAACCAGCCGAGAAGCGCACGCTTGCAGGTCTACTCGAGTGGGTCACTTCGGGCTACGAGTTCGCGAACATACATCGCATTGCCCATTTGCCAGCCTCGGCGCCTTGACTGGAAGCCGATTGTATTTGCGAGAGCTGTGGTTCCATTTGCAACGTTTCGCTCTGCGACCATGGTAGCGCCCTTCGGTACCATAGGTGTTGTGCCTTGTGCTGCTCTTTCAGGGTGCTGGTGCGACTCACTGGAATCTCTGGTTCCCCAGTCGGTGCTTCCACTGGTGGGTCTTCTTCGCAGTCTAAGACATCGGATGGAGGGGTCTGCCGGTGTTCCGCCTGGTGGGCAGCCGTGGGCGCTTCGTGGGCGCCCCTGTGGCGCTGGCTGGGAGCGCCGATGTTCCTCGCCGTGGGCGCCTCGTGGGCGCCCCCGCGGGCGCCCCTGTGCGCCGGCCGGGTGTGCCGGGGCTTCGCCCGGTGTGCGGCTCGTGGGCGTCTCGTGGGCGCCCTGTGCGCTGGCTGGGGCTGCCGGGTTTTCGCCTGGCGGGCGGCCGTGGGCGCCTCGCGGGCGCCTCGTGGCTGCCTGCCGCGCAGCCTGTGCACCACGCGTGTGTTGCACGACGTAGCCTTTACCACAGCACCAGCTCCGCACAGCATACACAACGTATTCTTCGCCGCGTGCCTCACATCACATGCACTGCACCACAGCGCGGACACCACACATCTTGCAGCATGCACCACGTATCCTGCACCACACAGATAGTGGAGCGAGAGTGCAGATCCCTGTTGTTTGGCATGTGCCCAGGCACACACTCTTTGCATGTAAGTCAGCTTCCATTGACCAGAGACGTCCAAGGCGCTTCAAGGAGTAAGCCAGATATTCGCCTAGAGTCCCTGGCGCCCCAGGGAGCTCTCAGGCAGGCCGGGAAATTCTTGAAGACTCCCAGGCTCTCCGCTCGGCGAGCGCTCATGGAGCTGCAAGGCAGCAATGAGGAAGATGAGCCGCAGCTTATTCTCTACGCCACTCGCGGTTGCCGCTTCTCCCCTTTGTTGGGCCCTTCCTGTTCAGGCGTGGGTCTCATGCGGCGGCTGTACAGGTCCGACGACGAGAGGGGGGCACCCCAAGAAGTGGTGCAGGTTACGAAGGCTTTCGAGGAGCCTCTCCTGGGGTTGCTCTTTCTTTGGGGTTCTGGCAAGTTCACTTGCGCATGGCTTTACCCACCCTCCAGGCACGATTTGAACAGTGTGTAGGCCACCAGAGTCACATGTGCAGGTAGCATTCGACTCGCGTGCCATCCCGAGCTCATCTTGCAACTCGCTGGGCCTTCAAGCGAACGTGCCAGAATCTAAAGGAAACCAGCCTCCACATGGTCTCCCCATTCTGGTGCCGGGAGGGCGCTGGAGACAATGTGAGCGGGTGGCGGATGGAGGTGCCACCGAACGCGGCTGCGGCGATCATCAGCTGTGTTGCAGAACTTTAGCACAGTAGCTAACCTTGGTGCTTGAAGGCACGAGAGGATGATGGCTGTGACGGACGATGAGGGTGAGCGCGATTGACTTGAGCGACGCGAGCGTGATGGCTTCGGCAAACGAGCTCGTGTGCAGCACGTCACGCTACTGTGTGTCACAGTGGTGGGCAGGAGGAAGGAGAGATCAGCGTGTAAACGGGTCTTGCATGAGGAGGCGGATGTTAATGATGATCATGATGCGGGTGTAGATGATGATGAGCGGTTGGGTAAGGACGAGAACGAAATTGGCACGGGGATGCCGATAGGGATGGTGATAGGGAGCAGCCTTAAGCAGGCAGACGAGCATGGAAAGGCGTCTGAATGTGCATATGTCTGGGAGGAGTGGGGGGGGCGGTGAGAGGAGTCGGAGAAGATGCAGGCGGTGGACGGCGAGGAAAGGAGGGAGGATGAGGACAGGGCTCGAGCGAAGCTGTGCTCTGGCGATTTCGTGGGCCGTTATCGTTCCGATGTCGTCTCGCAGCAGGGGCAGACCGAAGGCAGAACGACGGCGCAGGAGCGCGACACGAAAACGAAACCGCTGTTCAGCTCGAGCCCGGGAGGAGGGGAGTTGAGCTGATACCAGGCTTGCTGGGGAGGAGGCACCAGGCACACACACACACACACTCACACCTGGTCTCCCATCCACCTCCCCTTCTCTCCATAGCCTCGTCCCACTGCCTCCCGCAATGTCTTTTCGCTTCCTCAGCCTTCGGGGTAGTCTGGTTGAGTTTGCATGGACTGCCTTCGTGCGTTCTCCATGCCAGTCTTCGTGCGGTTCGTCAGACTTGCATTGCTAATGTCATGACTTTTGTGGTCAACGTTATCACAGTCGTCCTACCCCCCTCCTCCCCCCCCCCGCCTTTCTCTAAGGATGGGTATAACCGCCGTCCAATCTACACGTCCGGAGCAGCGGCCCTCGCCGAGAGCTGTCCAGGGGCCGCCTTGGATCGTCCCCCCCTGTCGCTTTGCTTCGGCTTCAGGTCCCCCGGTCAGGCCCGCCCTCCTCTTTCGGGTTTCCCCGCCCCCTTCCCCTTGCCCTCCTCTCCTCTCTGCTCCCCGCCTCTCCGCCCTGCTCCCCCTCTCTTTCTCTCCTCTCTCTCTCCCTTCCCTCCCCTTCGAGCCTCCTGCTTTCGACCCGCGGTCGAATAAACACTGCCCCCCGAGTCATTCCCCCAGCTGTTAGCCCACCCCATGGGAGAACGAACTCGTAGGGCTTATCCAGTTTCGGTGTCGAAACTGTGCATGCCGTTTTCGGACCCCTCTTCAGGAATCCTGCCTTAGGACCGTCCTCAGGAACCTCTAAGCCATGCTCATCAAGAACAGGGATGACAACACCACTCCCCCTCCCTCCTCTGCCCCTTCATTACGTCCCTCCCTAAGGTCTCCCCGCCAGGACCGTCGGATAAGTGCTTGCCCAGCGTGCTCCGGAACAGCGTTTCCGGAGCACGTTAGAACGCCCGTGTTGGTGTCGAAGAGGCAGGCCGTTTTTTTGCCCTTCCTCGCCGTGTGGCCCCCTGCTCCCCCTCTCTCTCTGCCTCTTCTCGCTTCACCCTCCTCTTTCTCTCTCTCTCTCTCTCCCTTCCCTCCCCTTCGCCCCTCCTGCTTTCGACCCGCGGTCGAATAAACACTGCCCCCCGAGTCATTCCCCCATCTGTTATCCCACCCCATCGGATAACGAACTCGTAGGGCTTATCCAGTTTCGGTGTCGAAACTGTGTATGCCGTTTTCGGACCCCTTTTCAGGAATCCTGCTTTAGGACCGTCCTCAGGAGCGACCTCTTCGAGAACCGCGCACGCCCCCTCCCTCTCGCCCCCCCCCCCCCCCCCCCCCCCGTGAGGCCATTGGCCTCACACCCCGCGCAGCTTCCATCACAGGGGCTGCGTGGGTTCCTCCCGCACCTATACATGATGGCGTCAGTTGCCACCGGAGGGGGCCGAGGACCTCCGTGCAGCCCCTCGGCCAACGAAGACGGCTGCAGGGAGGGGTCCAAACGTACCTCCACCTTCACGCACCAGTCAACCAATACACCAGAAAACAACTCCTCACATTCCTCCCCCGCCGTTCCCGTGTCCCCTTTCCCTTTCTCCACCTTCTCACCTGCCTCCTCCTCCTCTCTTCCTCCTCCTCCTCCTCCTTGTTGTCCTCCTCCTCCTTCTCCTCCCCCTCCTTCTCTTCCTCCTCCTCTCTTCCTTCCCCATCCTCCTCCTCGTCCCCCCCACCTTCCACACACCCTCAACCCTCACCTTCTCCCTTGCCCCGACCCCCGTTTTCATCCACATCTCCCCCCTCGTCTTCCTGCCCCTGATCTTCTTTCTCCCCTCAACACCTCCCCTTTTTGCTTCTCCCCCGCCCTCCCATCTCTTATCCTCTGCAGTTTGCTCAACTTCCTTCCCCTCTTTTTTTCTCCCCCCTCCTCTGCCTTCTCCTCCTCCTTCTTCTCCTCCTCTCCTCCTCCTCCTCCTCTGCTTTCTCCTTATCCCCTGCTGTATCCTACTCCCGCGTAGTCGTCCTGCTCCTCTTTCAGGGGGGGACGGCCAGGGAAGGTTCAGGAGGGAGGAGGATCATGAGGATGAGGATGAGGATGATGATGAATGAATGAGGAGGAGGAGGAGGAGGAGGAGGAGGAGGAGGAGGAGGAGGAGGAGAAAGGAGGAGGAGGAGGAGGAGGAGGAGCAGGAGCAGGAGGAGGAGGAGGAGGAGGAGGAGGAGGAGGAGTAGGATGATGATGAGGAGGATGATGAGGAGGAGGAGGAGGAGCGGACTTGCAGGATGAGGGTGCAGGGGAGGAGGGGGACGCATCAATGGGACCAGGAATGGGGGAGGAAGAGGAGGAGATGGAGGGGGAGGACGAGGAAAAGAGGGACGAGGAGCTCGAGGCGGAGGAACGAGGGACGGCAGTACGATGAGGAAGAACAAGAGGAGGAGGAGGCGGAGGAGGAGGATGAGCATGAGGATGAAGATGAGGATGAGATGATGATGAACATGCTGATGATGCTGCTGATGAAGATGATGATACCGATGTTGACGACGATGTTGTCGATGCTGATGATGATGCTGCTGATGCTGGCGATGCTGATGCAGTTGCTGCTGCTGATGATGCCGATGCGGATGATGCTGCTGATGATGGTGGTGATGACAATGACGATGATCATTATGTTCATGTTGCTGATGATGTTGATGCTGCTGCTGATGATGATGCTATTGATGATGATGCTGCTGATCATGATGCCGACTATCACGATACGATGGCGGGGATGATGCTGATACCGAGGACGATAGTGATGATACTGCTGCTGCTGATGATGAGGATGATGATGGTGATGCTGCTGATGATGATGCTGATGGTGATGCTGATGCTGCTGATGATGATGATGATGTTGACGGTGATGCTGATGCTGCTGGTGATGAGCATGCTGCTGATGCTGATCATGCTGATGATAATGATGATGGCGATGATGATGCTGCTGTTGATGATAACGGTGATGATTCCGATGCTGATGCTGTTGATGATGCTGCTGAGGATGCTGCTGCTGATGATGATGATGATGATGGCGATGTCGATGATGATGATGATGATGATGATGATGATGATGATGATGATGCTGCTGATGATGATGATGCTGATGATGATGATGTTGATGATGACGCTGCTGCTGATGATGCGGATGCTGATGCTGATGATGATTATGATGATGATGATGCTGCTGATGACGATTATGATGCTGCTGTTTAGGAGGAGGAAGAGGAGGAGGAGGAGGAGGAAGAGGAGGAGGAAGAGGAGGAGGAGGAGGAGGAGGAGGTGACGGAGGAGGAGGAGGAGGATGAGGAGGAGGAGAAGGAGGAGGAGGTAGGGGTGGGGGAAGAGCAGGAGAAGGAGGATGATGAGGAGGAGGCGGGAGCGGAGGAGAGGATCAGGAGGAGAAGGAGTGCAAGGAGGAGGGCCAGGGTTGAAGCAGGAGCAGGAAGGGGTCCCAAGCCCCCTAGGAGTGCTTGGACCTGGCGCGCTACATGCCACGACCTTGCTACTCCGAGGACGGTTCTGGGGCGGTGCTCGCGCAGTGTGCCAAGTCTGTGTTTTTGTTTCGCGCACGTGTGCGCGTGAGTGTACGTGTGTGTGTATATGCGAGTGTGTATATATGCGTTTGCGTGTGCGACTGCGTCTTGGCGCCTGCGTGTGTTTGTGAACAGAGCGTCCGAGGTTCCCTTCAGGGGCACGCCTGCGAGGTCGCTCAGGGCCCATGGGGGGCCTGAAGAGCGCCCCACTGGTGGCTGGGAACTTTCGCGCTCTCCAGGGGGGCACAGGGACCCGAGTGATCTCCGAAGCTGGGCCTTCAAGCCAGAATACCAGATCCTTTCGGGTCACCTGCGAAGGCTCTCAGAAGGTTGGGGACTTCGGAGGATGGAGAAGATACGACGGGGCGGAAAGATCTGACACTGTTTCCAGGGAATCCGAAGAATCCGGCGACGAATCGCATACCGGCGCTCCAGCGCGGGGAGTCTCTGCAGAATCGTCTGCTGGGCCCTGCCCACAGGGCCCCAGCAGGGGGGGTGGGGTGGGAGGGAGTGGCTGATTGAGGGGTGCGTACGAACAGGGGCGAAATTGCCGTAATAGTCAGAGTAATCACAGACCACCCATCGGGTGATCTTGGGTTTCGGGCGAGGGGAAGTTTCCTTTCGATGAGCTTTTCTATTTGCATGTGCGTGTTCATTTCGGTATCGTTCCTATTTCCTCCAAATAGGCTTGTCCTATACGAGTTCTAGCTCAAACCCTTACTAATTGGCCCGTTGTCCCCCCTAATTCCCTAATTCCTATGCCTCCCCCCTAATTCCTATGGCTATGCCTATGCCTATGCCTATCCCCCCTTTTTCCAATGACACCCCTCCTTACGTATGCTTGCTTGCTTGCTTGCGCGCTTCCTTGCTTGCTTGCTTGCTTGCTTGCTTGCTTGCTTGCGCGCTTGCACGCACGCTTGCTTGCTTGCTTGCTTGCTTGCTTGCTTGCTTGCGCGGTTGTTTGCACGCTTGCTTGCTTGCAGAGTTGCGGATTCCAAGCATACTCGATTCCTCAGATTCTTTGATTTGAGTCGTCTAATCTATTTGGAGTCAACGCTGGCTGATATCCATTTTGCTTTGCATTTTGATGTTCGAGCATATTTGCATTCTGAGTGTGCATCTATTTGCCTTTAGGTTTGCATATATATATATATATATATAAAATTGTGTTTCGATGGGCCTTTCGATTGCAATTGGAATTTCAGTTCGCTTTGCATTCAGTTTTGCATTTCGATCTGCGCTTCGATCTGCATTCCGATGTGCATTTTGATGGCAATCGGATAAGAATTTCGGTTTGCATGTCGATTTTGATTTCGATGTTCACCAGGCTAGCTTTTCGCCATTCTTTGTAATGTGTCGTTCGATCCGCATTTGCATTTCCAATCCGATCTGCAGTCCGATATGCAAGCCAATGACAGATGGACTTGCGTTTCGACTTGCATGTCGTTGTGTATTTCGATTGCAATTTGATTTTAATTCCGATATGCATGTCCCACACACATTCCGCGGGGCAACAACGTCGCAACCCACGGGACAACCCACCAGACAACCACGGGACACCGACCGGAAACCCCACGGGGCAACACAAGGAACAATCATGTAATAACCCTTCGGGACAATTCACAGGGCAATCACAGGGACAACCACGGGACAACCTACAACCCCCTGGATTAAAAAGTGGAGACCGCAGGGGCCGAGGTAGACGTGGTTTGCCTCCCGTTAGGCAGCGGGGCCCCGGGACAATGTTGGATTTGTTGCCAATTCCGGAGTTTCCGGTGCCTCCATCATCCCTTTTAATATTATAAAGGCCAAATGGGGCTCCGACCGGAAAGTGGGATTCTGCCTAGGACTTCCTCAAAAAAAGTTTCCGGTCGCCTTCCAGGGCGACCGGAAATTCTGCCATGCCACCGGAAAGTGGCGATTCCGCGTGGGACTTCCTCAAAAAAATATTCCGGTCCCTTTTGAGGCCGCCAGACAGTGGCGATTTCGCGTGGGACTTCCTCACACATTACTTTTTGTCGCATCTCATGCCACCAGAAAACGACGATTTCGCTTGAGACTTCCTGACATTCGAGTTTCTGGTCTCATGTACGCTCACACAGACGCCGCGGACCTATTCCTCTTCCCACTCTCTCCTCTTATCATCACAGTATTGGATTGTTCCGTGTCGCATGCTCTCCGTGCAAGTCAGATTCCAGTTGCCACAGCCTCGCGCGCGCGGTCCTATCTGCGCCTGGGCGGATGTCCGCAGGGATGGCCGTTGCATCGTTCGGTTCACAGGTTTGTCTTGGAGTCATCTTGAGGCCATCTTGAGGTCGCGTCGGGTCGCAGGCCCCCCTGTGGGAGGTTCGATCCCAGGGTCATTTTGGGGCGACGCGGTTGACCCAGGATGTACGGTCCAGAATCGACGATCCAGGATCGATGATCGAGGATACACGATCGATGACCCAGGACCGACTGTGGAAGAGCGAACCCATATCGATCGGAAACGAGGCTTTGGGTTCCACGGCCGATCAAAGTTCGACAACCACCTAGCGATTGAGGGTCGGAGATCGAGGGTCGAGGATCCAGGGCCGTTCGGACATCGAGGAGCCAGGATCGAGCGGCCACGATCCGTCGAAGTTCGACGCTGGATGGCCGATCGAAGAGCGACGATCGAGAACCGATGTTCCAGGCTTGATCGAAACTCCAGGCTCCAGAATGCCTGGCCGATCGAACATCCATGATCGAGGTTCGATCGAGGCTCGAGGATCGAGGATCGAGGGCCCCAGATACTTCGAGGGTCGAGGATAGAGGTCCGGTCGAACAGCGACCATCGACTTCCCAGGATCCAGTCCCGATCGAAAGTCGCGGCTCGAAAGCCGAACGACGGACGAATACCAGGATGCGGTTCTTTCGGTGTAGCTCCGATCTCAACTTTTTAATCCAGGGGGTGGTTCAAAAATGGTTCGTTTTGCGATGTCCTCAACGTTCGCATCCGTAGTCATTTCGGCTCCAGCGATGTCTTCGGACAATCGTGCGAAGCTGGTTCAAGCAATACGGAGGGCAGCGAAAGCTGCGGGCGTTCACCACTCAGAGCTGCCCAAGGACACTGCTGCGAGGGAGAAGGTCCAGGCACTTGCACACCAGGTCGAGTCTTCCAACGCCGACGCAGCAAAGAAGGCCGACGTCCAACCCGCCCGGATCTCGGACGAAGTGGTAAATGTGCTTCAGTCGTAGACCAATGATGCGTTCGGCCACGTGGAGCATGCGAAAAAAATCAACACATCAGACGTGCTTCGGCCTGCTGGCGGTGGAGGTTCAAAAAATGGTTCGTTTTGCGATGTCCTCAACGTTCGCATCCGTAGTCATTTCGGCTCCAGCGATGTCTTCGGACAATCGTGCGAAGCTGGTTCAAGCAATACGGAGGGCAGCGAAAGCTGCGGGCGTTCACCACTCAGAGCTGCCCAAGGACACTGCTGCGAGGGAGAAGGTCCAGGCACTTGCACACCAGGTCGAGTCTTCCAACGCCGACGCAGCAAAGAAGGCCGACGTCCAACCCGCCCGGATCTCGGACGAAGTGGTAAATGTGCTTCAGTCGTAGACCAATGATGCGTTCGGCCACGTGGAGCATGCGAAAAAAATCAACACATCAGACGTGCTTCGGCCTGCTGGCGGTGGACAACCCCCTGGATTAAAAAGTGGAGACCGCAGGGGCCGAGGTAGACGTGGTTTGCCTCCCGTTAGGCAGCGGGGCCCCGGGACAATGTTGGATTTGTTGCCAATTCCGGAGTTTCCGGTGCCTCCATCATCCCTTTTAATATTATAAAGGCCAAATGGGGCTCCGACCGGAAAGTGGGATTCTGCCTAGGACTTCCTCAAAAAAAGTTTCCGGTCGCCTTCCAGGGCGACCGGAAATTCTGCCATGCCACCGGAAAGTGGCGATTCCGCGTGGGACTTCCTCAAAAAAATATTCCGGTCCCTTTTGAGGCCGCCAGACAGTGGCGATTTCGCGTGGGACTTCCTCACACATTACTTTTTGTCGCATCTCATGCCACCAGAAAACGACGATTTCGCTTGAGACTTCCTGACATTCGAGTTTCTGGTCTCATGTACGCTCACACAGACGCCGCGGACCTATTCCTCTTCCCACTCTCTCCTCTTATCATTACAGTATTGGATTGTTCCGTGTCGCATGCTCTCCGTGCAAGTCAGATTCCAGTTGCCACAGCCTCGCGCGCGCGGTCCTATCTGCGCCTGGGCGGATGTCCGCAGGGATGGCCGTTGCATCGTTCGGTTCACAGGTTTGTCTTGGAGTCATCTTGAGGCCATCTTGAGGTCGCGTCGGGTCGCAGGCCCCCCTGTGGGAGGTTCGATCCCAGGGTCATTTTGGGGCGACGCGGTTGACCCAGGATGTACGGTCCAGAATCGACGATCCAGGATCGATGATCGAGGATACACGATCGATGACCCAGGACCGACTGTGGAAGAGCGAACCCATATCGATCGGAAACGAGGCTTTGGGTTCCACGGCCGATCAAAGTTCGACAACCACCTAGCGATTGAGGGTCGGAGATCGAGGGTCGAGGATCCAGGGCCGTTCGGACATCGAGGAGCCAGGATCGAGCGGCCACGATCCGTCGAAGTTCGACGCTGGATGGCCGATCGAAGAGCGACGATCGAGAACCGATGTTCCAGGCTTGATCGAAACTCCAGGCTCCAGAATGCCTGGCCGATCGAACATCCATGATCGAGGTTCGATCGAGGCTCGAGGATCGAGGATCGAGGGCCCCAGATACTTCGAGGGTCGAGGATAGAGGTCCGGTCGAACAGCGACCATCGACTTCCCAGGATCCAGTCCCGATCGAAAGTCGCGGCTCGAAAGCCGAACGACGGGCGAATACCAGGATGCGGTTCTGTCGGTGTAGCTCCGATCTCAACTTTTTAATCCAGGGGGTGGTACAGCACAACCTACGGGACAACCCAAAGGATAACCACGG